AAACATGAATAAATGGTAGTATCATTTTTTTGGCGAGTCAGGTCGCTCTTGAAAGTAAAAATAACGGATGTCACTTTCTGGCTTGCTAGAAAACAAGACTCCGATGGGCACTTGTTAAATAGTGTTGAAAGTATAGACGACAGCTCCAAAGAACACTTCTGTCAAACTACAACATGTATGTTGTCCGGACCACAAGCTGTAGAAGAGTCTAGGCAGGAAATCACTTTAGATACAGAAGCTGAAGTAATACGAATGTCAAGCAATGGATCAACCTGTTTGTTGCCAATATCAGGTAGAACGCAACTGGTGGAATCAAGAGATGATATTGATGAAAAGTTCTTAGCAAGCAATTCAGCTTTGTCTTTAGGTGAGGTAACAAAATCTGAACTATGCAAGAGAGGAGGAATAACAGATTTGCTTTTATTATAGACACTGTTAATAATTCTCCAGAAGTCTCTGGAACCTAATTTTTGAGATGATATACAAGATTTTGTGACCTGAAAATAGTGGACTTTGGCTTTAGACAAAACCTTTTTACAATGGTTTCTAGCAATAGTAAACAGAAGTCTGTTTTCTGGAGAATTGTTTTGGGAATAGATAAAGAAGTAATGGTTACAAATGGAAATTGCAGCAGCACAATGTAAGGAAAACTATAAAGAAGAGTGAGGTTTGACTTAGAACTGTCTTGAGGGAATAAAAGATTCCATGCCAGCCTGAATCCAAAAAGTTACATAAGAAGCACATTTGTCAGCAGGAAGAGGAAAGATTTCTACCCAAGGGTTATTACAAAGAAAATCACAGAAAGAGTCCCACTCACCTTTGAGGTAGTTGTAAGAGGTAGATTAATAGGAGGATTCTGATGATGAAGAAGAATGAGATAATAGTTTTAGAGATATCAAAATGTGATTTGAGGTAATAAGGGTGAATCTGGAGAAACTGAGCACTGACTAGAATTAGAAAGAAGAACAAAAAAAAGAAGACATTTAAAAACATTTTAAAACATTTTAAACACTTAGTGACAATGTGTTATTTTCTTGATTTTTTCTTGATTTCTTGATATATATATATATATTTTATTTTAATTCACCTCCTCAAGGCCGAGAAGGCCACTACAGACGAGGAAGCTACTTATTTGTTGCTATAACCCTCTCTCAACTCTATAACTCCGAAACACGAACCTTGACAGACAAGGCCGCTACGCGGAGAAACAAGTTGAGCGCGGTACTACAAGGGACGTGTTGGGGATCGAACTCGGAACCACTCATTTATGAAGCGAGCACTCTGCCACTACACCACTACAGCATATAATATATGCTCTACCACTACACCACATATAATATACCACACTACTAGCGCATATAATATATGCTCTACCACTACACCACATACCACATATGTATATATATATATATATATATATATATATATATATATATATATATATATATATATATATATATATTTATTTATTTATTTATTTATATATGTTAATTTTTTTTTGATCTTTAAAGGAATGCTGCAATGAAGAAAAAAATAATGAAAATGGAAAATTAACACGTAATGGATTTGCAGAATTTTTCAAGTTCTTTTCTTTTGATAAAAATGAAGTTTCTAGCATAATCAAGGAGTATGGAAGGTATTTTAATATGAATTGTATTTATGTTACTAAACCACACACCTGTCAATCAGATGTCCAGAAAGTGATTTTTCTTCAGCAAAAAAAAAGAAAAATTTATTTTTTCAAATATATATTATATACTTCTAAATGTATGAATCTATGTCAGTAATAGAATGTTAGTCATATTAAGAACAATATGTTTTTAATTATCATTTGTTGATGTCAGAGAGCTAAATTTTATACTTAAAAAAGTCTTATTATTTTTTAGAACTATTTTTGGAAAAACTTGTTTAAATGCAGAATCTTTGCAGAAATATTTTAGAGAAGTACAGCAGGTATTATCAGAGATAAATTATTAGGCAATAATTATAAATTACTTTATTTATATCATATTATTAAACAATGTTTCTGAAAGGGATGGAGGATAACTCTCCCTCCTTCACTTAAGTTGAGAAGTTCAACTTTTTAAAGAGGAAATCTAAATTGGCTTTTGTAAATTTTATAAAAAAAGTATAAAATTTAATAAAATTATTAAAAACATTCCAAAAACCCGTTTAGTTTACATAATGCATTTTACTACCCATGTAAAAATTTTCAAAAGAAAACTTCTTTCAAGAAATTTTTAAAACAAAAAAATAAAATTTAAAATAATTTTATGCTTTTTCAGAATCACTTGAAATGAAATGAAATCCAAATGAAATGAAATGAAATCCAAATACTGATAAATCATAAAACCAGAAAACAAGTTTTAAAATTATAAGACTTTTTTGACAAACACCAAATTTTACTTCTTGTACCAGATTTTTAATAAGATTATCAGATAGATTTTTTAATAACTAGCTTAATAAAAGTTGTTTCTTTTTAAAAATCTTGTTTTTTATCAAAGATTTTATGAGCGAAAGTTCCTTTAATGATTAGTTTTGATTTCTTAATTTTATGTATTTTGTTTTAAATGCATTTAATTTTCAATATTTTTTTTTCTTATTCTATGTAATCATTCTTTATTTCTGAATAAAAGCTTAATTTTTCTATCAACTGATGGTGCAAAGTTAATGATCGATAAAAATATAGTATCAAAATTTTCTTTTTATCAAGAAAAAAAGTCATGACTGCATACCTGTACACTGCCGCCTTCACAGAAAAGTGTTAGCTGAAAACTGCATGCCTGATTCGTTTGAAAGAGTCATTTCATTGTTACAAAACTAATAAACTCAATGAAGTCAAAAAAACTTCTAAAGAAAAATGATTTAGTTGAAAACCTCTGATGACTTTTTTGCACAACTGACCTACTTTTGTGATTCGTGTTAAATGTTGTAAACAAGTCATTCCAACAACAAATGTTTCAAGCTACGGAAAAATAAAATCATTTTAAAAAAACAAATGCTTTGGTGCTGGGTTTTTAATTGGGAGAAAGTGCTCTTTTATTATATATCCCCCTCCTCCCTGGTGTTTTGGCTAATAATCCTCCTCTCATTTTATTCCCACTCCCTTCTTGTATAAAGCACACAAGAGTAATTTTATAATTTACTACTAATTCGAAATAAATAAATTCCTTTATACCAACTAATCATTTTTAATCAATATTCATTAAATAATTTTTCATAAATTGTTCTTTGAAGACATAGTAAATATATTATTTCAATATACATATATTTTCGATAAAATAATATATATATATATATGTATATATGTATATGTATATATATATATATATATATATATATATATATATATATATATATATATATATATATATATATATATATATATATTTATGTATGTATATATGCATAAAACTTATATTATTAGCAAAATTTGAGTCTGGAGGAATGCAAGAAAATAATTTCAAAACATGATGAGAATAGAGGTTCTTATCTTTCAGCTGAAGGTTGGTATTTTTTCATTGCATATAAAAATATTTATTATTTATTTTTATTATATATATATATAAATATATATATATATATATATATATATATATATATATATATATATATATATATATATTATATATATATATATATATGTGTGTGTGTTATATATATATATATATATATATATATATATGTGTTATATATATATATATAAATTTATGTATATATGTATGTATATATATATATATATATATGTATGTATATGTATATATATATATATATATATATATATATATATATATATATATATATATATATATATATATATATATATATATATGTAATATATGTGTGTATGTGTGTATATATAAATATACATAAATATATGTATATATATATATGTACACACACATATATATATATATGTATATGTTATATATATATATATAAGTATATGTATATATGTATATATACATATATATATATATATATGTATATATATATATATATATATATATATATATATATATATATATATATATATATATATACATATATGTAATATATATGTGTGTATGTGTGTATATATAAATTTACATAAATATATGTATATATATATATGTACACACTCACACATACACACATGCCCAAACCAAACCCTTAGTCGATGTAGCAGCACTCCCTTGCAAGTCAGGCTATTTGTCAGTCGATGTAGCAGCACTCTGTTGCGAGTCAGGTTATAAGATAGTCGATGTAGCAACACTCCCTTGAAGCAGCAGGCTATAAGATAGTCGATGTAGCAACACTTACGCATGTTTTAAAAATATTTTTTAATAAAACAAAAACAAAAACACCAGTAATTAAAAAAAACTTTCTAGTCATTATTATTGCGGTTTTTTAAAAAACAATAAAATTTAATGTACTTCTGCATTAATTTAATTGCTTTGACATTTCGACGACAATAAAATGCAGCTTAAGAGACAAGGTAAAAAAATTGTAGTCGAAAGAGACTTTTTTTGCCATAAAAGTCTCTTTTGACTACACTATAAGGATATATATATATATATATATATATATATATATATATATATATATATATATATATATATATATATATATATATATATATATATATATATATATATATATATATATATATATATATATATCATATAAAATCTTTTTTTAGGAGTAATAAGAATGTTAATCTCTGAGGAAAACGACATTCTTGATCCAATACATAAAAATATTCATCAAGATATGACACGACCTTTAACTGATTATTTTATTAACTCGTCTCACAACACGTAAGTAAAATATGTTTTTTTGAAAATATATGTTTTAAAAAAAGTATATTTTTCTTATTAGTTGTTGCTTTGAATTTTTGAAACCTTTACAAAGAAATATTTAGCAAGAAGTTTTATTTATTATAGCATTTAAGTATGCAAACAAAGGAAAACAGTCCAAAATTTTTATATATTTTTTGGTATATATAAAGTTTGTTTACATTATGATTTTTTTCAAACTATTTTATTTACCTTTCTTAATAAATATAAATTTTTGAATTTCACAATAATAAATAACAATTAAATCTAACAATAAGAAAACTAAGTTGCCATTTCTTGACAAATAAATTGACATTTCAAAAGGTGCCTAATCTCAGATTTTGCTGAAACCCTTGATACAATACTTTTTGTATATGATTTAGTCAGTACATACATAAAATGTTTTTTAAATAATGGTTTTTTAAAATTGGTAACAGATGCTTTGCATCTGTTACCAATTTTAAAATCAGTAACAGATGCTTTGCATCTGTTACCAATTTTAAAATCGGTAACAGATGCTTTGCATCTGTTACCAATTTTAAAATTGGTAACTGATATTTGCATTAGGAACCAATTAAAAAAAAAAACTTTATCCTGCTTGCTTCAACACTCAGATTAATTTTTAATTTAGCTTTTAAGATCAAGTTTTTTATAATTGCAAAAAATTTTTTTTGCAATTAATAAAGTTAAAATTATTAAAAAAAAAAATTTTTCAATAATTTTAAAACAGAAGTTATAAAAAAAGCTAAAGATTTTTAATATTTTGTTTTTCTAAAGGTATTTGTATTTATTTCTAAAGGTATTCGTATTATTAATATCTTAAAAAAACTCAAATAATTATAAGTTATTAAAAACCAAACTTTTTTGCTTAAACAGAAAAATTTTATGGAAAATTGACCATTATTTAAATAGTTTTTACTCAAGAACCGTATTAGATAATGAAAATTTTCAAAACATGCTTTTCTCATATATATGTACAAAATCAAAAAGTTTTAGTAAAATCAAAGATTGTGCATTTATGGGGTGAGGTACTTTTTGTCCAATTAATATAAGAATAATATCATACTTAAGTTAACTTGAAAATAACATGAATTTAATAATCTTTACAATAATAGAACATAATTTTACTCCAACAATTTTATAATTTCCTTTTATTTTTCATTTAACAAATTCAACTCATTCCCTAATTATTCATTTTCATAAGTTTTTTGTTTGCAATAAAATGCTTAGGTATTCAGTGCCATACTGAGTGTTAGTTTAGGCGCTACCGTTTATACAAATTTTTTCCTCTCCCCAACCTCTTTGATATGGAAGTCTCCATACCAGGCTCCATGGAGGAGGGCTGGTATGGAGGTATTTCATACCAGCAATAAGCTATAAGCTCCCCCATACCATAACTGGTATGGAGGAGGGCTGGTATGGTTGATACTGCTAAATATATAACCACAAATAAGTAGCCTCCTCGTCTGTAGTGGCCTTCTCGGCCTTGAGGAGGTGAATTAACAAAAAAAAATAAAAATAAAAGGTTTTGAGTTTGAAGAAATGTAGACAGCCTGTTTACATGATGAAGAATATCAGCCAAAAGAAGCATGAACAATTCATTAGCCGTGCATTTAGTTTTAGGACTGTTGTTAATAATTTTATAAATACGAAGGAATACAAATGAAAACAAATTGAAAAGAGAGAGACAATTTTTTTTGAAATAATGTTAAACATTACAAATGTTTTAATTTAAATATGTGCAGTTTTTTAGTTTGGGAGCATTAGTTTAGGCGCCCATACCGGTAAAACGGTATGAGATTACTGCTGGGTATGGCACTGGTATTTGCTTTTTAAAATTATATATTAAATCTTTAATTTGTTGTTTATATCAATTTATTGTTTGCTTATTTTAGGTATCTATTAAATGATCAAGTTTTAGGCATGTCTAGTACAAAAGCATATGAGAAAGCTCTAAAAAAAGGATGTAAAACTTTAGAATGTAAGTGTAATAATATAATAGTTTACTAAAAGTTTATTACTATTTACTGTTAATGGTTTTAAAAAATATATATGATTAAAGTGTTTTCTACAGTTTTGATTGCATTGAATATAGGATATACAAATAAAAAGAATATATATATATATATATATATATATATATATATATATATATATATATATATATATATATATATAATTAATATATATACACATTATATATATATATATATATATATATATATATATATATAATATATATATATATATACATATATATATATATATATATATATATATATATATATATATATATATAATATATATATATATATATATATATATATATATATATATAATTAATTAATTATAAACACCTGGTAGTTAAAGAAACATGACTCCGAGTTTCATGCCTATGGCGATCATCAGGTATAACTAATAATCTTAACAACAACAAAATTAGTTACAAAAATACTATGCAGTTTTGTTTACTCCGCTTTGATGACATTAAAATTGTTTATAAAAAATTTGATTTCATGGCGACATATTGATACCAGCTCATTTTTTTTGTTCAATAATTTCAATTTTGATGTTATTATGTGATGCTTTTCGGCTTTTGATCATCATTTGATCTTGAGGTTAAGTGAAAAGGGGCTGAAAAATTGTTGCAAACTTTGAAATAATAAAAAGAACAAAGATAGAA